CAGATCCTTCTGCTTCAGCCTTCCAGGTAGCTGGAACTACAGGCACACGCCACCACACCCAGCTAATTTTTTGATTTATTGTAGAGATGAGGTCTCGCCAAGTTGCCCAGGCTGGTCTCAAACCCGTGGGCTCAGACAGTCCTCTCACCTCGGCCTCCCAAAGTTGCTGGGATTATAGGTGTGAGCCATTGCGCCTGGCCCACGTAAGAATCTTTATAGTAATATAGTTCTAACTGGATTCACTTTTGTACATGTGATTTATGAAGGAATTGAACTTTTTTTGTCCTCCATAGGGTGAACTAGTTTTCCTAGTGCCATCTATTAAACAATCTGGTAGTCAGCACCCAAAGTAACCACCAGTGATTCTTGCCTCCTGGTTTCCAGGCTCTTGTTTAGTCCCCTTCCACACCAAATAGGGCTGTCCTGTATAACCAATAGGACATTGCAGAAATGATAGTGTGTGACTTTTGAAATATGCCATAAAAGAAATTACAGCTTCTGGCTCTCTTTTGGGCCATTCACTCTGGGAAGCCAGATGTTATGTGAGAACAATCAAGCAGTCCTAGGGAGAGATCGCTTGGTAAGGAACTGAAGCCTCCTGCCAACAACCAGCACAGACTCCTGGCCATATGGGTGGACTGTCTCAGAAGCAGATCCTCTAGGCCCAGGCAAGTCTTCAGATGACTGCAACCCTGGCCAAGATCTGAACTGCAGCTTCATGAGAGAACCTGGGTCAGGACAACTCAGCTAAGCCAATCTCAAGTTCCTGACCCACAGAAACTGTGAGATAATAAAGGTTTATTGTTGTTTCAAGCTGCTAAGTTTGTAGTAGTTTGTTACCCAGTAACAGAACAGATTTTGGTTTCTGGAGTGGATCTGTCATAACAAAAACCTAAAATTGTGGAAATATTTTTAGAACTGAGAAGTTGGCAGAAGTTGGAAGAGGAAGACTTTGAGGAGAGTGTTAGTAAAAGCCTACAAAGTGTTAAAGAGTCTGTTAATAGAAGTCTGATGACCTTTGGGGAGACTGCAGTGAGGAATTAAAAAACAGGAAAATGTTATACTGGAAACTGGAAAGGGATCCTTATTAAATAGTGGCAGAAAGTTTAGCAATACTGTGTCCTGTAGTAATGTAGAAAGTAGAAAATATACCTAATGAACTGGATGGCCTATCTAAGGAGATTTCCAAATAGAATATTAAAGGTACCACCTGGTATCTTGTTGCTTATAGTAAAGTAGAAGAGGAGACGGTAAGTTAAAGAAAAAAACATGAACAAAAGGAGTCAGAAATTGTTGGATTTGAAAAATTCCCAGCTTTTCCAGATAACAGATAGCTTTAAAATTAACAAATGGCTTCCAGACAAAGATTAAATATGAGGCATTCTCAGAAAAATATGGTCTAAAGGTAAAGCTGAGGATATGATTATAAAGCCTTTATTAAGACTTCAAAAATATTCAGAAAGATGCCTCAGAGGAGCATATAATAGCACCTCTGAGAAGCTTAAGAATGTTGTCTCAGTATCTCAGCACAAGCCCAAAGAAGGGCTTATCTTGCAGAAATTTGTGGGTGTGGCTTTTTTCTAATGAGGTGAACTCCAAGACTTGCAAGATACCTAATAAGTTTTGAGGAGAATTATATTGGCAGAAACACTGCCAGCTTGGATGGAAAGGGATGGAGCCAATGCAAAAGGACCAATAGACCTTTGGACCCCCAAACTTCGCCAGGCAGCAAGCAGGCCGAGGAAACTATAAAGCTGCAAGCATCTTTCATGGTAGAGGCAGGATGACTCAGGGCAGAGTCAAAAGCCATGGAGAATCATTCCTGAACAGGAATATGCATTAAAGAGTTCCCATCATTTGTCCAACTGGATTGTAGAATTTCTGTGGATCAGCGACTTGTTTCTCCCTTACCCACCCAGCCCCTTTTTTTGAGATGGGGTCTCACTATATTGCTCCGGCTGATCTTATACTTCTGGGCTCAAGTGATCCTCCCACCTCAGTCTACTGAGCAGCTGAGATTCCAGGCACGTTCCACCACACTCAGCATTCCCCACCTTTTGCATATCCTGTGCCTGTTTCTACCATTTCATATTAGGTATATGGAGGAGACTCATCTCTTTAGTTGATAGGTCTTCAGACAGAGAGGAAATGTACTTAAGGGACTGTAGTTAAGGAACTACACCCAAGAGCCACATCCTTATCTAGACCTGATTTAGATGACAAGATTCTATACTTGAACTGATGCATTGATAGGATGAGACTTTTGGGGGTCTTGGGAGGGGGTTTGTATGCATGTTTTGCGTGTGGGAGGGATATGAATCAATGGGGGTCAGAGGGATTGTAGAGCTAGCCTCCAAGGCAGCCCTGGTGATTCTTGTTCCCTGGTATCCATTATCTTGTGTCCCTCCTTCTTCACTGGATGGGGCTGACAAAGCTAGGTCATAAAAGACATAAAATGAGGTCTCCACCTTGCTCTCTGATGGATTATTTGCTCTGGAGAAGCCAGCTGCCATGCTATGAAGACACTCAAGGAATCCTGTGGAGTGGTCCAAATGGCAGGGATTAGATGTTCCCTGCCAACAGCCAGCATGAACTTGCCAACCATATGAATAAGCTTTCTCAGAAATGGAACTTCCAGAGGCAGTCATGCATTCAGATGCCTGCAGCTCTGCTGACATCTTGACTACAACTATATGACAGATCCTATGTCAGAAGCATCCAGATAAGCCACTTCTGATTTCCTGACACACAGAAACTTAAACAATAAATATTTGAGCTGCTAAGTTTTGGACAATTTGTTATACAGCAGTAGATAACTAATATTCATTTGACATTTTCCCCCACTCATTTTTGGTGTCTTTAAAAAAATATCTATTCTTAGCAGGGCTCGGTGGCTCAACCTGTAATCCTGTGCCTTGGGAGGCTGAGGTGGGTGGATTGCCTGAGCCCGTGGGTTCGAGACCCGCCTGGGCAACTTGGAGAGACCTCATCTCTACAATAAATCAAAAATCAGCCGGGCGTGGTAGCATGCGCCTGTAGTTCTAACTACTTGGAAGGCTGAAGCAGAAGGATCGCTGGAGCCCAGCAGTCGAGGTTGTGGTGGCCGGGAGCAGCCACGTACTCCAGTCTGGGCAACAGAGTGAGACTTCAACTCAAAAAAAAAAATCTATTCTTATATATACACTGGTCTATTTCTGAGTTCTCTGTTGTGTTCCATGGGTTGTTTGTTTCTGCACCAGAACCACACCATTTTCACTATTAGGGCTTTGTGGTTTATCTTTTTTTTTTTTTTGAGTTGGAGTCTCACTCTGTCGCCCAGACTGGAGTGCAATGACCGCTCCGGCCACCGCAGCCTTGACCTCCTGGGCTCCACCAATCCTTCCGCCTCAGCCTTCCAAGTAGCTGGAACTACAGGCATGCGCTACCACCCCCGGCTGATTTTTGATTTACTGTAGAGATGAGGTCTCGCCAAGTTGCCCAGGCAGGTCTCGAACCCTCGGGCTCAGGCAATCCACTCACCTCAGCCTCCCAAAGGCGCGGGATTACAGGCTGAGCCACTGAGCCCGGCTATGGTTTGTCTTAATATGTGGCAGAGTCAGCCCCTCCTCTTCAGTCTTTTTTTAAAAAAATGACCTAAGTAATGTAGACTTGTTTCTTCATATTAATTTTAGAGAGTCTTGCACATTTCTAAAAAAAATAAATCTTGTGAATTTTTATTACAATTGCCTATTTAACTTTCAAGGTTGGCAGAAGTGAGAGGGATTTTGGCATGAAGACTCTAGAAGAAAGAAGAGAGAGAAACCTCTGTGTCTGCTTCTCAATCTTCAACCTCATCCCACCTAACCACGTTTATTCATTGAACAAATCCTCATTGAGCACCAACTATACTAGGCACTTATTCCCTAGGTGGGACAAGACAGACCATAAACAAATATATAAAAAATCAGAAAGTGTCACAAACTAAGTGCTGTTAAGAAAATGAACCGATAATGTGAATAAGAGACTGTAGAGGAAGCTGCTTTAGCCAGAGGACTTGAGGAGGAGAACTGACACTGAGGAGGCGCTGTGTGAGCTGCAGTCTGAAAGGCACAACACAGCCAGCCATGCAGACAGCTGAGCACAGAGCATCCCAAGCAGGGGGATAGCAAAGAGCCAGGGTGGGAACAAGCTGGATGTGTGAAGGAATGAGACATCCATCAGTGGGGCTGAAGCCCAACAAGCAAAGGAAGCATGGTAAAGATGAGGACAGAGAGGTCAGCAGAGGTCAGAGCCTGCAGAGCCCTGTGGACCACTAAGGAGTCCAGTATTTTCCCAAGGGCTGCAACTTTTGAAGGCTTCTAAGTGGGGGGAGTGAGTGACCTTGGTTGTACTGTTAACCACCTTCTGCTTCTTCCCCAGCAAAAAAGGGAGAATCTTTCCCCACTGTGCCTCATCCCCACGGTGACATCTCCCCGAGAGGAGCAGCAACTCCTGGCCAGCACCTCCAAGGTGAGACCCCTGAGTCCTTCAGGGTAGAGGCTTACTGAGGGCTTCTCCCTGCAGCCTGACCTCCATCCTTTATCCTCTTCCCCAACAGCCAGTGGTGAAGCTCCTGCACAACCGCAGTAACAACAAGTACTCCTATACCAGGTGACCACTCTGGGTGGGTGTCGGGGTGGGTGCACTGGGTGGAGCCCTGGGATTGAGCTCAGGTCTGTCTCTGCCCAAGGGGAGGGCTGTGGCCACATGGAGAGCCTACAAGAGTGCCTGCCTGAGTGCAAATTCTAGCTCTGCCACTTACACTTTGACCAGGTCATTTCCACTCCATAGCTTCAGCTTTTTCATCAGTAAACTGGGGTTTTGGTGAGGATGAAGTGATAATGACTAGCACGTCCTAAGTGCTTCTGTAGCTCTAGGTACTCTATTTATGTTAGCTGACAGAATCTTCACAATTGTTAGAGGTAGGTATTGTTGTGAACTCCATTTTACAAATGAGGAAGTTGAGGCATTAAGAGGTGAAGTAACTTGCCTAGTGTCACCCGGTTAAAAAGTGGTGGAACTAGGACACCACATGAGGCAGCCTGGCTCCAGAGCCTGCCCAGGAGCCACCCTGGGATTTGCTCGACACATGCTGCTTCTCTTTGGAGGTTTGCTAGGCTGGCCCTGGAGTGGAGGAAGCTCCTGTTAACATCAAACCCCTGGGCAGGACCATAGTGCTGGGAATCCGGGCCCCTATCCTGGGGAGAAGGGAGGGAGGGAAGCCTGTCCTGCTGAGGCCTCTTGGCACCCTGGTCCTCAGCACTTCAGATGACAACCTACTTAAGAACATCGAGCTGTTTGACAAACTGGCCCTGCGCTTCCACGGGCGGCTGCTCTTCCTCAAGGATGTCCTGGGGGACGAGATCTGCTGCTGGTCCTTCTACGGGCAGGGCCGCAAAATCGCCGAGGTGTGCTGCACCTCCATTGTCTATGCTACGGAGAAGAAGCAGACCAAGGTCAGAAGGGGTTCAGGGCCTGGTCAGGGAGGGGGGTGGTGGTGGGCAGGACCAGGACCCTGGACAAAGGCAGCTCAGCCGTCAGTTAGGGGAGTCAGGAGCCAGAGTTCTGGAGTATCGGCTTTGTACCTTGGGCAAGCCACCTTATTTCTGTGGGTCTCCATTTCTCTACCTGTGAAATGAGGGTGTTGGGTTAGAGCTGGGTGCGTAACCTAGGACCACTGGATGGATTTCAAGGTTAACTGCAGTCCCCTAAAATAATGTGCAGGTTTAGGGGTGTGTATGCATTTTTCTGTATAGAAAGTCCATAGTTGTCATTAGAAATTCAGAAAGGAGCTGGGTGCGGTGGCTCAGGCCTATAATCCCAGCACTTTGGGAGGCTGAGGAGAGAGGATTGCCTGAGCCCACAGGTTCAAGACCAGCCTGGGCAACTTGGTGAGACCTCATCTCTATAATAAAATAAAATAAAAAATTCAGACAGGCCCTTTAACCAAAAATAGATCAAAACCTCAGGACCAGAGTTTGTAGGTTCTGAGTCGTTAACATGGTAGCAGATATTTCCCAAGTACCTACTCTGCGCCAAGCGCTACACCAGGCTTAAAACCAAGGTTAATGAAATGCTGAGTCAAGTACCAGCCCATCCTCAACTTGATATGAAGGCCATGCGTCAAGCCACTGACATTGCAAGTCTCTTAGCTCCCAGTGCTGTTTCACATCTCCTGTCCCTGCACATACCATTCCCTCTTGCTGGAATTCTGCTTCCTTGTCCCCGTCTGCCTAATGAACTTGTAGTTAATCTTTAAGACCTAAGCCAAGCATCACTTTCTTTGGGCGGCTTCGCTCATGAATTTTCAACCCAATAACCCCAGACAAAGTTGTTCACATTTGCTTCTTAGCTTACAAAAGTGTTTATTATTATTATTATTGAGTTGGAATCTCACTCTGTCACCGAGGCTGGAGTTCAGTAGCACACTCATGGCCACTGCAGCCTCGACCTGCTAGGCTCAAGCGATCCTTGCGCCTCAGCCTTCCAAGTAGCTGGAACCACATGCATCACCATGCCCAGCTAATTTTTTGACTTATTGTAGAGACGAGGTCTTGCCAAGTTGCCCAGGCTGGTCTCAAATCCCTGGGCTCAGGCAATCCTTTCGCCTCTGCCTCCCAAAGTGCTGGGATTACAGGCATGAGCCACTGCGCCTGGTTTCACCAGCTCTCTTCCCACTTGCGGGGAAGTTTCTCGGAAGCTGGGTCACTCATTCACTCATTCATTCATCAATTCAATTTTCAGGGCTTCCACTGTGTGACAAGGGCTGACCTAGTGCTAGGTATAGACTTTGCCCTTGAGGAGCTAACACCTTGCTGCTGAAGCAGCCCCTTTGCCCCAATCCACACACTATAATAATAAACACTGGGTAACAGATTGAGACTGCAACTCAAAAAAAAAAAAAGGAACTATGTTAGTTAGATCCCCCCCAAAACCTCAAAAGGGAACACCCCAGTCACCTCTTCAACTTCATGCCTTTCCACTCTGTCTCTCTTCATCACTGTGCCTCAGTGATCTTCAAATGAGACACTAGGTACAACCTGACCCAGAGCCTCTACATTTGCTGTTGCCTCTTTCCAGATGGCTTTCTTTAACCATCTACTGGCTCCCTCCCTCCTCTCCTTCTCGGTAAAGACTTTCTTTAACTCCCTCCTTAAAGTTTTAGGGCCAGACACAGTGGCTCATGCCTATAGTCTCAGCACTTTGGGAGGCTGAGGCAGAAAGATCACTTGAGGCCAGGAGTTTGAGACCAGCCTCAAAAAAAAAAAAAAAAAAATGTAAATAAGCCAAGTGCAATGGCTCATGCCTGTAATCCCAGCACTTTAGGAAGCTGAGACGAGAGGATTGCGAGTTCACAGGTTCGAGACCAGCCTGAGCAACTTTGTGAGACTTTGTCTCTACAATAAATAAAATCAGCTGGGTGTGGTGGCATGCGCTTGTGGTTCCAGCTGGAAGGTTGAGGTGGGAAGGATCACCTGAGCCCAGCAGATCGAGGCTGTGGTGGCCATGAGCATCAGGGTGAGGTTCCTACTCAAAAAAAAAAATTGTAAATAAAAATAAAGTTGTAATACTCCTGTCTCTGGCCATCTCATCCCCTTTTCCTGCTGTATCTTTTTCTATAATATCATCATCTGACTTCATTTATATGTCATTAAGTATATGCCTGAGTCCTCCTCCTGGAATGTAAACTTCCTGAGAGCAGGAACTTTGACTGTTATGTTCACTGCTATTTTCACAATGCATAGAAAAAATCTGGTGCAGTGCAGTCACTCAGTAAGTATTTGTCAATTGAAAAAATATACTAAGAGATTGGGCAGGGAAGGAGATGAAGGAGAGAAAACGAATAATTCTGCCTGCCTGACTTCAGAACTGAGCCTTAAATTATGGCTTTGCTGAGTTAAGAAGTGGCAAAGAGGACAGTTCAGGCCAAAGAACCTGATTGCCAAGGCTAGGAGGTGTGTCAGTGCAGGGGCTGTTGGGGCAGGGGGATGAACCCTGTGTGGCTAGACCAGAGGGTAGGAGCTGGGACTTACTGGCCTTTTGCAGGTGGAATTTCCAGAGGCCCGGATCTTTGAGGAGACCCTGAACATCCTGATCTATGAGACTCCGCGGGGTCCAGACCCAGCCCTCCTGGAGGCCACAGGAGGTGCAGCTGGAGGTGGTGGGGTCAGCCGAGGGGAAGACGAAGAGAACCGAGAGCACCGTGTTCGGAGGATCCACGTCCGGCGCCACATCACCCACGACGAGCGTCCTCATGGCCAACAAATTGTCTTCAAGGACTGACCTTTGCTTTCCTCCTGCCTTCGGACCCAGTCACTCTGTTTTTTCCTCCCCCTCCTAGACCTTTGCCCCGGCTCTGCTGGCCAAGTCGTGGGTCTTCCTTGGTCCCTTTGTGGCATGATGCGGTTCACTTTGGCCCTTTTCCACTCATTCCCCCCCCTCACTGCTAACAACACGGTACATTCCAACTCCTTCCTTCAGTCAGAGCTCTTCAGAAGGCTAACATTCATCCCCTCATCCCCATTCTTGGTCCTGCTCTCTTTCCCTCACCAGCTGGTTTAAGCAGTTTAGAATTCCCTTTCTCTTTTTTTAGTACGTCATACATGCCAAGATGTCCAGCCTGCCCTCAGTAACATCCACCACATTCTGAGCCGCCTCCCCACATTGTGCAGGGTAGTTTGCCTCCTCCCCCACTGTTCTCCCTACCTCCTTAACTTTGTACTAAGCTGGCCTGGGCCTGCACCAGCTTAGCTTTCTTCTCAGTCTGTTTCATATTATTTATTATTTTAATTTTCTATTAAATTATTGGAATAAAGTTGAGTTGAGGTTCTGATGCTGGCTCTCAGGGAGTGGGATAGAGAGATACCCTGTGTTGAGGAGGTATCTGGTTAGTTATGTGGAAGAAGACATGAGCCCCTGCCCAGGCCTTTCCCTGGAGCTGGTAGCTTGGAAGAAGTAGTCAGGAATTAGGTGAGGATTCAAAATGTATATTTCAGTGCTCACTGGCCAGTTCCCATGCTCAGCCCATCCGCCCCCCACAGTGGAGAGAGGTCCTGGCTACCACTCAAGCCATCCCTGAGTGCGATGTCTCTCCAGCCCAGGTGTCAAGAGAGCAACTTCCTTCAAGGGTCTGGTGCGAAGACAAAGTCGAGGGCCTGGCGCTCGGCCCCTGCCACGTTGGGATGCCAAAGGTCCACAATGAAGACCACTCGAGGTCCATCTTCGGGGGAGCCTAGGGCACACATGGGGATGGAAACAGCAGGGCAGCTGACAAACACTTCTATGCCAGAGCACTCACCAAATACTTGTAAAAGCAAACACTTAGTAAATAAGTGCCAGGCCTTGTTCTAACACTTTATATGTATCAACTCTTAATCATCAAAACAAGCTATGAGGTATTACCACAATCCTGCCCATTTTATACAAAGTAATGGGAGCTATGATACGGTTAAGTAATTTGCCCAAATGCAAGAGGGAGAGCAGGAACCCAGAGCCCTGTATTGTACACCACTTTCTGTGCACCTCCATTATCTTACTTAATCTTTGCAATCACTTGATAAAGGGCCCCCACAGGGAATTGGGGAAGTTACATATGTGTTCAAGGTCATGCAGTAGAAAATGATGATGTTAGGATGGTAAGTCAGTTGGGCCTGATTCTGCAGCGCTCTAGTGGTTCGCTTGTTAGTCCTCCATCCCCCTGGTGGAATGGGCATCCCATTACCATTATGAGCCACTGTGTGCAGAAAAGAGTCGTCCACCAGTAGACAGTGCCCCTCTGCCCAACACTGGGGCTCACCACCGACCACCAGCTCACAGCCAGAGGGAATCTTCAGGCCTGTGGGAAGAGACCCAGGCATCTAATACTGCTTCCATCCAAGGTGCCCACCCTGTTCAGTCAATTAACAGATCTAAGTGTCTTAAATGGCCAAGCTTTGTGGTGGTCCCTCCTTTCTTTCTGGAAGGTGACAGTGGTATAATTACAATCCAGTGCTGGATGAGGGAAGTGTTAGAATATTGGGGAAATGCTGCTGAGGGAAGTGCAAGCCATTGTTTAGATAAAAAGAGAAGGCTTTCTGGGGGAAATGACATCTCCAGGACTTTCTAACTCAATTCAACTCAAGAACCTACTATGTGCTAGAAGTTGTCTCCCCACACAGTACAAGGCTAAGGACTCCATCCTGGTCCAAGGACCACATGGCCGAGTGAGCAAACTGAGCAGCCAATTCAAATAATGGAACAGGAAGGCATCCCAGAGGTGTAACACTCGAAAATTTGAGTTAGTTGATAAGGGTGAAAGGCAATCTAGGTTGAATGAAAGTAGAGCATATGTACTTTCAGGATCAGCCAGAAGGCCTTCATGATTGCAGCACAGTGGGAGGGGAGGGGAAGGATCTGGAATTCATCCCGAGGTCAGTGTGCCCCGAAGTGTAGGATAACTCCAACTGGCAGCCCAGGAGATAATTTAGTGTGAAACAAGGTCATGGTATGAAATAACAAAATGATTTCCATTTTCTTTCCATCTTTAAAATATCAAAAAGAAAATCTCAGTTTGATGCTCCTATAACTTTGACATTCAACTGACACTGCTTCCTTTTAAAAGAAGAAAGTGTAGGGTTCAGTCTCAGAGAGCCTAGAGTACTTAACCAGAATGTTTAAAGCTTTCTTTTTAAAATATCACCTTGTTTTTGTGAGTACTTTCTACGTAGCACTGATGATCACTTACAGTTCTATAAAGATTTATTTTAAATAAATAAGTAAGACAAAAGGTGAGGGGAGTCAGGGTGAAGAAACAGTACAGGTACTAAATGTTGATGGCAAAGCGTATGACGATGGTTTGCAGATAACTGGAGCTCAAGAGATGCTGCTGTGGATAGCAGAGAGTCGTGGAAGATTTCATAAGAGGCATGATAAGGACCACAGTGTAGAAGGCTTTGGTGACAGAGAAGAGGGTCTGCAGGGGGAATCGTAGAGGCAAGGAGGTTGTCTGTAGGTGGCATCTACTTACCCAGATGGCATCTGACCCTGGCATTGGTGGGCCCACAGCGGCCCTCGAGCCGGGCTCCAGGCAGGAGGACGGAAAAGCCGGCATTGCCGAAGGTGTTGCCACTCATAAAGCTCCGCAGCCCCCTCAGTGCCCGATAGGCCCCCGGGCACCGGCGGCAGTTGCTGGGTTGGCACCGGCCTGCTTGGTATAGCAGGAGCTGGTAGCACCCAGGGGCCAGAGGTGGGGACCAGCCCCGAGGCAGAGGGGTAGTCCCTGAGAAGTCCCAGCTCACAGCCCCAAAGTCCCGCAAAATGGCAGGGAAGCTGCTCTCCAGGAGTTCCACATCATGCCGCTGGGCATCCCGGGGCACAAAGGGGGCTGAAGGCAGGTCTGGTAGGAAAAGCAGGCCTGGGCGCTGAATGCCCAGGACCCCCGGCCCTCCCCCGGGGCCTGGGCCACCCTGAGCTGCCCGCCTCACCCTACCCATCCCAGCCCAGGAATAGCGCCTGGCATAGGCCCGAAGCCGACGGCTCACTAGGCCTTCTGTCCTAGGTCCTTCTCCAGGCTCCCCAGATCTCCTTGGGCTTGGCCTGCCAGTATGAGAGCATCCTACAGCCCCACCGCTAACATCCCCAGCCGGGTCCCCAGCCCCCAGTGCCTGCACGTCTTGGGAGCCCAGGCGGTAGCAGTACCAGAGGAAAAGGGAAGTGAGGGCTCCAAGGAGCAAGGTAAGGGCTGAGGAGGCCAGGGGCAGTGGCCATGGGAGCATGATAGGCAGGGAAGCTCTAGCTAAGAGGCTTGGGGCATCTTCCAGACCCCAGTTCCCCTGACCCCCCAGTTCTCCACCTGTCCCTTCCATGGCTGCTCCCTGGTTGCCCCCTGGACTGTTTCCCTTCCACATTTCCACTCTTGATTGTTTCTCTCCTTCTGAGATCTCTTCTCCACTTTGTGTCTCTCCCTTCCTCTCTGTACCTCTGACCCTGCTTTCCCTGTATTTCCCTCTTCTCTCCTACCTCTTCTTTCTCCGTTCCCTTTCCCCTTTCCTGTCACCCTCCTCCCTCTTCTTTCTCCTTCCAGCAGTCTCCTCTCTCTGCTTCTCTCTCCGCCCTCAGTCTCCCCCTTTCCTCTCTTTTCTCCTCCCCCCTCCTCTCCTCCCGTTTGCTCTTTCTCTCCCCCCTTTCCTCCTAGCTTCCCTGGACAGCAGTTCCTACCCTGCCTGGACCCGCAGCCCCGGGAGCCCGCAGTCTGTCTTCTTCCGTGGCGGCTTCGCTCTCTCCTTCCTCCCTCTTCAATCCTCGCCCTCGCTTCTCACTTGACTCGACCCACCGGTCCTGCTTCTTTCTCGCTCCCTCTCTCCTACTCGCTCCTTCCTTGGCTCCCACTCACCCTGACGTCACTCCTTCCCGGAGCCCTCTCAGCTTAGCTACCCCCGAACCCTCCCAATGGCAGCAGCAACTCAGCCAGAGGATGAGGGGGAGGAGGGAGTTGTCTCTGGGTTTGCCTCCCCGCCCCCTAACCCGGAAAGGGCGCCACATGGGGCGCAGGGGGCGCAGTGCCAACCTCCAGTCGCCCCGCAATGCGAAAAGAAGGGGCAGGGCTTGAGGAAGGGGCGGGGCAAATCAAGGGGGCGGGGAGAATGCGCGGGCTGACGGACAGGGCTGGCGCTCCGAGACTGCGGGCAAGGACTCCGAGGCCTGTCCGGCTCTTGTCAGCCCGTCCCTGCATCGGTCGGCCTCTCTCTCCCCGTGAGAGTCAACCCCTGGTGGGAGCCTGATTGATAGTAAAAACGGCTTCAGCCAATCGCCGGCCGGGCCTGCCCAGGCGGGGCCAGAGGAGCTGTCCGCCCGCCGGGGGTGCTGAAAAGGGCGCTCCAGAGGCCTTGTGAGCGAGACCGGGAGAGAAAATCACCGCCGAAGCCGTCATTAGCTGACCGGGGTCCCATTATATGTAACGGGAGGGATATCTCCTCCCCAGACTCCACAAACGTGGAAACTCGCCATTCTTCTGGGGGCAGGGAAAGCCCATTCCACCTGAGCGTCTGTGCAAGGCAAAAGGAAGTCGCGTGGAGCGGAGGGGAGGGCTCTGGATGTGAACAGGGGACAGGGTGGGGGGTGGCGTGAACCAAACTGTGCCGCCCTCGGCGCCCTGGGAAGAGGAGATTCAGATTCCAGATGTGCTGGAATGGCAGGGGCAGGGGCCCTAATTACTGCTGGGACCAGAGAGTTTCTTTTGCCTCCCCTAGGGGCCGCGGGAATGAGGATTACGGTGCTGGCTCATATGATCCCTCCTTCCTCCATCTGCACTTCCTCCTCCTCCCTCCCCGTCAAATAAATCCCAGGCCCCTCCCTTGTCCGTCCCCAGGATCTGACGTGGGCTCGACACCTTTCTCAGCTTCTCCCTCCCGCAGCTCCAGTGCTCGAGCTTCGGCTCTCCCGGTTCCCCAACCCCTTCCCCTCCCCTACTAACCCCGCTAGAGCCCAGTAGGGACCCTCCCTATCCTCGACCCCACCCTCGGTCCCGTCAGCTACCTTCCTCCTCCCCAGTCTCCTCGCTTGGGGTCCAGCTAGCCCGGTGGACCCAGGCACCCGAGCAAGAGGGTAACCCAGGCTACCCGGTACCTTCAGCTCTCTCGGCCCCACCCCCTGCAACCGGAGCCGCGCCCCCCTCTACCACAAATCCAAGAGCAGGGGACAGAGGAGACTGAGCAAAGGGGGGTGGGGTCCAGGCAGCCTCTAGCCCAATCTGTCCCTCCATACCAAGAGGGCAGAGAAATTGTCTTCCTTTACTGACTCCTGCCAGGAAAAAAAAATTAGGGAAAGATAAAAGGAGACGGGGGAAAGGTGGCAACCAGATTATTTGGGAGAGAGGCACAGAGGAGAGAGATCGGGGTGAGTCGCCATGGGGACTCCCAGCATCCAGCACCCACCGCCTCCCCAGCTGCTGTTCCTACTTCTGCTGAGCTGTCCCTGGATTCAGGGTAAGGACATGAAAGTGTGGGGGTGGGCCCAAGGAAGGCTCCCAGCGGGGTCCTCCACCCCCTCTTTCTCCTCACATCCTGGGTCTTCTGAGCTCATGGGGGAGGAGAGGAGCACAGCTGATGGGGAAGGGGCAAGCCAGAGCTTTCTGGCTTGAAACTGAAGCCCCTTAACCTTCAATGTTGAGGAGGTGGGGGGATGAAGGAGGGGAGCTTTTAGCAGTCTCTCAAGGGTTAAATCCAGGAACGAGGGCTGGGAAAGTTGGGGGGGGGTGTCTGCGGAGGCAGCAGAAGCACGCAGGGTACCTGGGTGGGAGATGGAGGTGCTGGAAGAGACGCCAGGCACTGCACACACAAATGTTCTTGGACGTATGGACAAAGACAGATGAAGAGAAGCAGGGCTCAGAGAACAGATATTCAGCCTCCCACTCTGACCCCCAGCCAGACTCCAGGGACAGAGGCAGAGATTGCAGAGAGAGAGAGAGAGAGAGAAAGAGAGAGAGAGAGAGAGAGAGAATACAGCCACACTGCAGAGACAGAACCCAGAGAGAAAGCCGGCTACTGCGGAAGCAAGGGCTGGGAGGTGCTGCCAGACCCTCCGCAGAGCCTCAGGGTTGGGGCGAGATTATCATTAAGATGAAAAGAAAGGCAGCATCAATGCCCTCGTCTGCTCTGCTGGCGCTGTCCAGGGTTCATAAGAGCTAAGATGCTCACTGAAGGCCCACACAGCCCGGGGATGGAGCGAGGGGGAAGAAGAAATGTAGGAGTGTGAGGGACTGCTGGGAACCCCTTCTCTGATCTTGGCTCTCGGCCCAGCCGGGGCACACTGAGCCCCTGCAGGCCCAGCTGATGGAGGAGGGATAAAATCTCTCTGGAGAAGGAGGGATGTGGGGGAACAGAGAGGCTCACACAACTTCACCTCCTAGGTCTGCCCCTGAAGGAAGAGGAGATACTGCCAGAGCCTGGAAGTGAGACTCCTACTGTGGCCTCCGAGGCCCTGGCAGAACTGCTCCATGGAGCCCTGCTGAGGAGGGGCCCAGAGATGGGCTATCTGCCGGGTAAGGCTCCTGAGTGGCAGGAGTGGCCTAGAGGCAGAGGGAGGGACATTGACTCAGGGAAATGGAGAGCTGGGCTAGGGGCGAGGAGCAGGCAGAGAGAGACTGTAGAGGAGGCAAGACCCCTCAGGAAGCCCAGTGAAATTCAGAGGGAGACAGCAAAACAGCTGGAGAAAGAGTCAAACCTGGGCATAGACAGAACAAATCAGAGCAACAGAAACAGAATGATTAAGAGGCAGACAGAAAAACAAACACACAGATAGAAAAATAGATGGAAATTTAGAGAACCAGAGTCAGGGAAATGGTGGGAGAGAGACGGAAAGAGAGAACAAAATAGAAAAACTAGAAGAACTAGAGTAATAAAATCAGAGTGCAATAAGAAAACTAAACAGACAAATAAAGAGTTCCAGAGACAGCAAGACAGAGAGAGAAAGAGGTAACCAGGAGAGAGAGCCAGATCTGAATGAGTGGGCAGAGAGAGAAGCTCAGAGAAAATATCAGGATGGAAAGGCCTGCGTAGAGATGGGGGAAGGGAAAGGCCACGCTGTGGAAACTTGGGAGGACGTGAGGAGTTTGGGTGGGGAAGGGAAAGGCGGTGGGCCTGTACCTTGTAGGGGAGGCCTCTGGGTTCAGTGGGGAACTCCTAGTTTCTCTCAGCCCTGCTCTCCCCTTATTGCCCCTCCATGTGCTCCCCCTGTGCCCTGACTTCCCTTACACTATCCCAGGATCTAATCCAGACCCCACGCTAGCTACCCCTCCAGCCGGCCAGACTCTTGCAGCGCCCTCCCTGCCACGGGCCACTGAGCCAGGGACAGGGCCTTTGACAACAGCTGTAACCCCTAAAGGGGTCAGGGGGGCAGGCCCCACCGCGCCAGAGTTGCTGACCCCACCCCCAGGAACTACAGCCCCGCCCCTGCCCGGCCCGGCCTCCCCAGGCCCGCCCCTTGGGCCTGAGGGAGGCGAGGAGGAGACCACCACCACTATCATCACTACGACTACTGTCACCACTACGGTGACCAGCCCAGGTGAGGCAATGGCAAGGGGATGGAAGTAGTGTCCAGGAGCATGGATGTGGGAGAGAATTCTAGGAACAGATGGGAAAGAGGCTGCTGGGAACTGTGGAAGAAAGAGCCCTAGGTACAGATGGGAGAGGATCTTCTGCTTAATAATAACAAAGGCTAGCATTTATATACCCTTACCATGTATGTACTAGGCATCATTCTACTTGTTTTAGTTATATTGTAGCTGGGGAAGAGAGTTCCGGGTACAAGTGGGAGAGGGAACGCTGGGTAAAGAAGGTGAGGGGAGAAGGCAAGTGAGGACCCCCAGAGTTGCTTGCCTGGGAGGGCAAGAGCACAGGGGTTCTGTCAATCCCAGCCACTATATCTCTTTAGTTCTATGTAATAACAACATCTCCGAGGGCGAAGGCTACGTGGAGTCTCCAGATTTGGGGAGCGCCGCCAGCCGTACCGTAGGACTCCTGGACTGTACTTACAGCATCCATGTCTATCCTGGTTATGGCATCGAGATCCAGGTAACTGGACTTAAGCATGTGGCTATGAAACTTCCAAGTCTTTTTCTATGGTCCTATGGGTGTGCGTAGGTTTGGCCTGGGAGCCAGAGAACATGTTTTATGACTCAGATGATCTCAAAACCTCTTCTAGAGTTCCACAACTTGGTGTTTGTGCTGCTACTTACTGTGAAAAAGATGGGGGCAGGGGCTTAGGAAGTCAATCCTCTGGATTGACTTGTCCTGGTGAGTTTGTGTCTGGCTTCTCTAGGTGCAGACGCTGAACTTGTCTCAGGAGGAGGAGCTCCTGGTGCTGGCTGGTGGGGGGTCCCCAGGCCTGGCACCCCGGCTGCTGGCCAACTCCTCCATGCTGGGAGAAGGACAAGTCCTGCGGAGCCCAACCAACCGGCTGCTTCTGCACTTCCAGAGCCCACGGGTCCCAAGGGGCAGTGGCTTCAGGATCCACTATCAGGGTGAGGAGTCTGAGGATGCTGATGGAAGGGCACAGTCCACACTGGGCATAAGGGACTCCAGGTACCATCTAAGGACAGGGCACTGAGGGGGAGCTTTTACTCTTGACTAGTACCCTGACGGGCACGACCCTCAGAAGAGACCCATGCACACTATGTCACACACTCACAGATCTGTGCACACATCCAACTGGCAATTCACCCATTTAATTCAACAAATTTTTATGGAGTGCCTACTTCACACAGGCCTTGTGTTGGCCTTAGGGAGAAGAATGAGCTAGTGAGGTGTAAATCTTACTTCAAGGAACTCAGAATCTAGATAGGGAGACAAACAAGTGATCGGGAAGGTTATAGTTCAATGAGATAAGGGCTACAACAGAGGAAACACAGACAGGTGGAGCAAACATCAAAGGGACCTAAACTTCTTCCCAGGAATATGGGGGCAACTTCTGAGAAGAGGTGATGACTAAGTTAAGATCTTAGGATGAATTCGTCAGGGGAAGGGTGGGAGGGAGGGAGAGAAGACGGGAGGCAGATGTCTAGATGGATGAAGAAGCACACCCCAGAGAAAGAAAACACACCGCTCAGAGAATCATTCAACATGGAATATAGAATTGTCCTAGCTGTGTGATCTGGGACAAGTTACTTAACCTTTCTGTGCCTCATGGTCTCATCTAAAAAAAAAAAAAAGAATCATAAATACTTACGTCATGGTATCATCAGGAAAATCAAATGAGATAATGCTTGTCAAGTGCTTAAAACAGTGTCTGGTACACAGTGAAAGCTCAAAACTATCATCATTGCTATCACAGTCAAAGCACAGAAAGTGGTGGTGATGGGGAAGTGGGCTAAGAGATCAGGCAGAAAGGCAGGCTGGATTCAGAACACAGAGCCAATATCAACTTCAGTGAGGAGTTCAGATTACTTTAACCTGCAGGTGACAGGGAGACATTTGAAATGTTTTAAGCTGGAAATGACAGCCTCAGATTTACAACTTAGAAAGATCCTTCTAGCTAGATGTAGTGGTATGTACCTGTAATCCTAGTTACTCAGGAGGCTGAGGTGGGAGGATCACTTGAGTCCCGGTATTCTAGGCTGCAGTGAGCTACAATCATGCCACTGCACTCAGCCTGGGTCAACAGAGCAAGACCCAATCTACATTTTTAAAAAAGAAACATCCGGCCGGGCTCGGTGGCTCAGTCTGTAATCCCAGCACTTGGGGAGGCCGAGGTGAGTGGATTGCCTGAGCCCGTGGGCTCGAGACCCACCTGGGCAACTTGACGAGACCTCATCTCTACAACAAATCAAAAATTAGCCGGGCGTGGTAGCACGCGCCTGTGGTTCCAGCTACTTGGAAGGCTGAGGCGGAAGGATCATCGGAGCCCAGCAGGTCGAGGCTGCGGTGGCCGGGAGAGGCCATTGCACTCCAGTCTGGGTGACAGAGTGAGACTCCAACTCAAAAAAATTAAAATAGCCGGGCTCGGTGGCTCAGCCTGTAGTCCCGCTCCTTTGGGAGGCTGAGGTGAGTGGATTGCCTGAGCCCGTGGGTTCGAGACCCACCTGGGTAGGGAGACCTCATCTCTACAGTAAAATCAAAAAATCAGCCGGGTGTGGTAGCACGCACCTGTAATTCCAGCTACTCGGAAGGCTGAGGCGGAAGGATCGCCGGAGCCCAGCAGGTCGAGGCTGCGGTGGCCGGGAGCGGCCACTGCACTCCAGTCTGGGCGACAGAGTGAGACTCCAACTCAAAAAAAAAATTAAAATTAAATAAAAATAAAAATAAAAAAATAAAAAAGAAACATCCTTCTGACTTCTGGAGGGACAGAAAGGGGGATGAATCTGAACACAGCTGCATTTGTGTGCATCCACCCCAAATGACCTACACATGTGTACTTCCATGCTTACCTGTGTGTATGAGAACCTTCCCACAGTGCCAAAGTATGTTCTAGCATACATGTGTGCACAAGGTAAGGGGCCCAGCCAGTGTCCCTGTTCTAGACACTGCTGTCTACTCCAAGGTCCTTCCTCTGCTCCTCGCAAATAGAGAACCTGTGTTGGGCCAGGGTCCCTTCACATCACCTCATGGCTTGGCCTGGTTTCATGTACCCTGCTGACCCCAGATCTGTGTGCATCTCATTCAGGACACAGCATGAATCCCTTCCTCATGTCCTCTCCAGCCCCTCCCGAGGCCTCTGCTCAGGACCTGCCCCAGGGGCTCATGGGTGTACAGTAGTGGTGCCTGTTCTTGGTGGAGCTCATGAGCAAGGGGCATGGACTTGGTGGTTGGAGCCTGGCGACTGGGGAGCAAGAGCATGCCTTGAGGGCCCAGGGCCGAGGGCTGAATTCAGATCTTACAAAATGGCTCCCCACTGGCTCCTTTAAGCAGCCACTTCCCTAGGGCATTGAAAATAGGACTCTTTAGGTAAGTGGAACATTTGGGGAAGCAGGGCTATTGCATAAATTGGCCTTCATTGCATGTCTTCCCTGCTTTGCAGCTGTTCTAGGTACCTCTGGGACTGAGGCCCTGCTTAAGCCCTTCCCAGCCTGCACTAACTGGAGCCTCTGGTCCAGAGCGGCCTCATTAGCTTCTCTGAAAAGCCAAAGGCTCTGTCATCCCCACCCCAAATCCAGCAAACGTTCCCATGTGCAAAGCCCTTTCACCAACCATTGTTTCATTTGCTTCTCACAGCAACCCTGGGAGTGGCTATTGTCGGTTCCATCTCTCAAAGGAAGAAAAAGACTCAAAGGTTATGTGGATTGCTCAGCCACCTGCAACTTTACTGCAGAGTCAGATATCAGATCCCTGAGTACCTGATTCCCAGTCATTCAACAATTGAGTCTCAGGGGGTGGGGGAGGGTGATTAACATTTTCTAAGCATCTTCTCTGTGCCAGGTGCTTTGCATGTTTATTTAATTTTTAGGCCAGTCCTCACTGATAGGAATTGGCATTGCCATTAATAGGTCAGAGGCCCCTAGACCTATTACCAGCTCAGAATCGTGTAGCTAATAAGCTAGAACTGGAACTCAGGTCTACCCATCTCCAAATCCAGTGATCTTTGCGCGTCCCACATTGTCTCTTGGCTGCACTCATTGGTCAACTAGGCTAGGCCCTTAGGGGACAAAATAAATAAGCCTTGGTCCAATATCAAAGTGGCAAAAGACAGTGGTTGATGTGATGACAAGATTATGCATGCAGGATTGTGTATAGGTAAGAGAACAACTAACTCTTTTGGAGAGGGGAGGGATAAGGAAGGTTTCCTGGAAGAGGTGATATTTAAGCTAACTCCTTGAAATATAAGAAGGAATGTGGAGAGGATTCAGATAGGGGCAAGGACATGAGCAAAAATATGGAGGTGAGACTTTAAAGAGTCACAAAACTGTGCTGTGTAGGATATATGGGTCTCAGGTGCAGAAAACTGCAGTTGGCCCCAACTGTGGAAGGGGCTGGAATGTCAATCCAAGGCATTCAGACTTAATTCTATTGGCCTTGGAGAGTCATTACAGAGGTTCATATATTTGAAACCACTGTGTTTAGAAGGTTGTTTTTGTTTCCATCTCAGTAGATTATGGACTCCCAAGGACAAGGCTTGGGTCTGGGTCCTTTTCATTTCTCTGTCTCCAAGGTCCAGCAAAGGAAATACTTGTTGAATTTTGAAATAGAGAGAAACCACGTGTCTTACAGAACTACTGAATGTGGAGAGTCAGGAAAAGTAAAGGCCCAGGCAAGCTGGTATCTCCAGAATCCTCTGGTAACCAGAGCCTGCCCCTCCTACAAGACACAGCTTTGGTGTACTTCTTTCAAGAGTTTTGTGATTTTTTAAAAAATGAATTCTGCCCAGTTCTGAAAGGGAGACATGCAAGGTTCTGTCAGAATCAAGTTTAGAGCCCATTATTGACTAACAAGTGATTTTCTATTTATTTGTTTTATCCCATTTGCTTCTACAAGAATTTCAAAAGCATCTGGGTATTGTGGCATGCACCTGTAGTCCCAGGTGTTTGGAGGTTGAGGTGTAAGTATTGCTTGAGTCCAGGAGTTTGAGGCCAGCCTGGGAAACATAGCAAGACCCCATGGAGGCTTTCAAAAAGAATGCAAGCAATACAATTACATAAAATAAGAAAAACAAAAAGAGCACCAGGTAATGCTTACCAGAGATGAAAAACAAGAACTTGGATGAACAAGACATTGTCATTACGGTCAAGTCTTTATCTGGTTCTAAGCTTCCTGGCAGTCAGCGCAAAAAGGGAAATTATACAGTTCTTACTGCAAGAAAAGAGATGATAAACCAGTTTCTCAAGAAAAGCAAAGCTTTCCTCAGCACCTCACATTCACTGGGGGATTCATTAAGGGGGTACTGAGTATTGAGGTCTTCAATGACAAAATAGTCAAATTTCCTCAAGAATTTTCATGTGGTCATCTGGATGAAAGCTGAGGATATAATACCACTGTGCACCTCAATGGAAGAAAGACTGTGTGTGTAGAGAGAAGAAAATGCTATGAGGCACTTAACACGTAACAGGAGTCTTGATTTCCACATCTGGAAAATGCATCACACAGTCTTTCTCTGCCTACTTCAAAAGCACTGTGTGAACTCACCCTGGAAGTTGAACAAGCTCTGCAAATACTATCTGTTATTATTAGGCTGGACAGGGTCCAGAGTAGATTTACCTGAGGTCACACAGCAAATGAGTACTAAGGTCCAGAGTAACTTCTCTGAGCCTCAGGTAGCTCATCTATAAAATGGGGGCCAATGTGGGTAAATTACAAAGAGTAGGAGAAACAAGAGATGTTGAAATAACGTCTTCATGAGACAGTGTGCCTGTGTGAGGAGCCTATTCTTCAGTGTGTACTCCAGTGTAGAGCCAGTTTGTGTCCCTGGGGAGCAGCGCCTTGGAAGAAGAGGAAAGTAGTGCTGGGGAACTGGTATGAGAGGGTGGCATGGGAGAATGAGTCCTCCTTTTCTCACTCTGCCTGGTACAGCCTACCTCCTGAGCTGTGGCTTCCCTCCCCGGCCGACCCATGGGGATGTGAGTGTGACAGACCTGCACCCTGGGGGCACTGCCACCTTCCACTGTGATTCAGGCTACCAGCTGCAAGGTGAGGAGACCCTCATCTGTCTCAACGGCACTCGGCCAGCCTGGAATGGTGAAATCCCCAGCTGCATGGGTGAGTCTCTTACCACAATACATGGGGGTTTCTGTCCTGCGAATCCCACTGGGAGGGTCTTAGGGATCTCCATCTTTGGATCCTGAAGAGGAGTCTACCCTGAAGAGTCCCTATTCTTCTGGTGCTCTTTATACCAACCAACCTTGGGCAGTCTCCATCTTGGGATGTCCCAATGGAGTTTTCCATTTTGGGAGTCACCACCTGGGAAGTCGCTTCTTTTGGAGGGTCCTCGTCCTTAGAGGAAACCATTCTTAGGGTCCATATCTGGAAGAGTCTCTGTCCTGGAGAGTCTTCATCCTGCGGGCCCCTCATCTTATGGAGTCTTTATTCTGGGAATTCTCATCTCGGAGATTTTCCATCAGAAGGTTTTAATGATGAGGATTCCCATGACTCCCCACTCCAGGGTATCCACAACTGGGGAGTCTTCATTTTAGTGGAAGCTCCATCCTAGAGGGTGTCCATCCTGGGGTTTTTCTATTCCAGGGCCAATTCCCCTGTGGGTAGTGGCCTGGAGAAGATCCTGTCCCCTGAGGTGAGCCCGTGGGCAGAGGCCATCCCTGGGCCAGGTCCCAGCCACAGCTGTGGATGGGCCTGAGAAGTGCTGAGGCCCCAAGGAGAAGGACAAGACATCTCAGGCTAGCCTTAACCTGTTGCCTCCTCTGCCCACAGCATCCTGTGGTGGCACCATCCACAATGCTACACTGGGCCGCATTGTGTCCCCTGAGCCTGGGGGAGCTGCAGGGCCCAACCTCACCTGCCGTTGGGTCATTGAAGCAGCCGAGGGACGCCGGCTGCACCTGCACTTTGAGAGGGTCTCACTGGATGAGGACAATGACCGGTGAGGGTCTGGGCCTTGGGTCAGAGAGTTCCACCTCAGGGAAATTGGGAGGTTGCAGTGGGTGGATCCCGGTTGGGACAAGTGTCAAACAGTTTAGTCCTAACCTCCTCTTAGGGAGTGCAGCTGTGCAACTTTAGATGAGTCACTTATAACCTTCTCACTGTACCTGTTTCTTCATCCATAGAATGGAGATAATAGTACCTCCCTCTTAAGGTTTCTGTCAAGATAAATGCATTATGAGGTTATGTAAAGTACTTAGAATGGTGCCCAGGACAATAAGCACTATAAAAGTGTCCGCCATCCTCCCCATCGTTGTTATTCTTTAACAACCTGGACTCCTTCCTAGCTCTGCCACTACTCATTCTGTGATTTGGGGCAGGTTACTTAATCTTTCTATGTCTCAAATATTTCATCTGTAAAATGAGAGAGAGTAATAGTCTTTGACTCAGGAGTTTCTGTAAAAATTCAATGAGCTGCCGGGCTCGGTGGCTCAGCCTGTAATCCCGTGCCTTTGGGAGGCTGAGGTGAGTGGAATGCTTGAGCCTGCAGGTTCGAGACCTGCCTGGGCAGCGAGACCTCATCTCTACAATAAATCAAAAAAATCAGCCAGGCGTGGTAGTGCATGCCTGTAATTCCGGCTACTCGGAAGGCTGAGTCGGAAGGATCGCCGGAGCCCAGCAGGTCGAGGCTGCGGTGGCCGGGAGCGGCCACTGCACTCCAGTCTGGGTGACAGAGTGAGACTCCAACTCAAAAAAAAAAAAAAATTCAATGAGCTAGGCCAGATGTGGTGGCTCAAGTCTGTAATTCCAGCACTTTGGGAGGCCGAGGCAAGAGGACTGCCTGAGTCTAGGGGTTTGAGAACAGCCTGGGTAATTTGGTGAGACCTCATCTCTAAGATAAATAAAAAATTAGCTGGGTGTGGTGGTGCGCCCCTGTGGTTCCAGCTACTTGGAAGGCTGAGGCGGAAGGATCACCTGAGCCCAGCAAGTCGAGGCTGCGGTGGCCGAGAGCGTACCACTGCACTCCAGACTGGGCGACAGAGTGAGACTCCAACTCAAAAATAAAAAAAAAGAAAGAAAGAAAATTCAATGAGATAAAATGTGTAAGGGCTTAGACATGCATATAGTTTCCGTTTCATAGTAATAGCTGTAAAAAAGAGTAGGCAAGGGGGAGGCATATTCTGAGGGGAAATTGAGCTCCTGGCTACCCTTCTGTCCACCTCAGGCTGATGGTGCGCTCAGGGGGTAGTCCCCTATCCCCTGTGATCTATGACTCAGACATGGATGATGTCCCAGAGCGGGGTCTCATCAGTGATGCCCAGTCCCTCTATGTGGAGCTGCTCTCAGAGACACCTGCCAATCCCCTGCTGCTGAGCCTCCGATTTGAAGGTAACTGGACCTTCCCTTCTTCGTGAGGGGACAGAGTCAAAAGCACATACTCCATGCCTGTTCATCTCTGTGTTTGGATCCCCGAAACCTGGTTGCCTCTGCACTCTGGCAAGGCTCTCTTCATATGGACCTCTTTTCCTTCCCAGAGGTAGCTCTGTCTGTTTAAGTATCATGTTTGGCTGGATCCAGGTATACAGCCAGAAGACCAGTTATCTCAGTATCTCAGTTATTTCCTCTGTGTTTGCTTCATTCCCAGGCAGGTTTTCCCTATGGGATGGACCTAGCTGCAGATTGACATATCACCAACTGAGCAACTCCATCAGAGAAAATAAACTCTGAGAACTTCAGCAAAAATGCCAGGGGAGGCTCTCATTGACCTGGCTAAGGTCCTGTGCCTTTGCCTGAGTCTATCACTGTGGCTAGGGGGAGGTGGTGTTATGATTGGCAGATCTGAATCACGTGCCCATCCCTCTTTGGCCCCAGCTGAACCTCATAGACTGGAAGTGGGGAAGGTGTGTTTCCCAAAATGAAAATAGGGGTGCTGGGCCGGGCTTGGTGGCTCAGCCTGTAATCCCAGCGCTTTGGGAGGCCGAGGTGAGTGGATTGCCTGAGCCCA